TGTTTGCCTGTGGATTGCGTTCATCCCCCCCACCCCCTTCCGTTTCTGCTAGGGATGACCGCTAAGGATGCTTCAGGTGAAACTAATAGTCACTGGAGATGACTTTGGCTATTGTCCTCGGAGGAACCAAGGCATCGTGGACTGTTTCCTGGCTGGAGCGGTGTCTAACGTGTCCCTTCTAGTCAATGGAAGTGCTGCAGCAGCTGCAGCCAAGCTGGCGAGGAGGTAAGCTGCTTTCATTTTTACAGCCCCGATAGAAACACTGTGTCATAGCCCAGGCTGATGGAAGAAAACCGAATCCCCAGCACCTTACTAAGGCTCTTCAAATAACACCACTGACTTGCAAATCATACCCATAAGGGTTCTTCCTCTAGTATTAGCCATTTGCTACACATTTTCTGCCTCAGGAACTAGCCACTTCCACAGGTATCTGATTGGTATGGTTTAGGTTTGTCAGTCTTTCTCCTGCCAGACTGCTGAAAGATGTACCTTCAGAATAAAAGTCCATATTATATGCCCTGAACAAGCTAAAACTATAGAGCATAGAAGCATTAGTTTAAATCTGGTTCGATTTCTGGCATTTTAGCCAGGCTGAACACAGGGTCAGCCAGGTTCATTGTAAAATCAGAAACAGATGTAATTTTGCAAGTGCAAAACAAACCTGAGCAGTGGAAAACTTGACTTTTCAGGCCCCAAAACCTAAAGAAAAAGCACCCCAATCCTATTAATTTTAGGCCTGATAAATCCATTTTTAAAAATCACATGCATAAAGAATGTGACAGAACTTTGTACCTGCCTTGTGCCTTTGACCTTTACTCTCTCAGGGGCTTTTCAGAGGTTGCTGCCATAGTGGGCTCTGCAACAAATCAAATGGTATGTGTGGTTCTCATGGACTAGCACAGCAAATCCCTTAACAGGAAGCATTACTTGTATTTAGAAGGTAAAACCTAGCTAATGCTTCAGCTCGGTGTGGGCAGGCATTTGGAAGCAGAAGTATATCCAGAAAGAGAGCAACAGGACTGGGAAACAGTTTAGGAAACCAAAAGAAGGAGAGGTGCAGAACTGGAATTAGAAGAACCAACACCTTACAGCTCAAATCCAGCTGCTGCAAGGGACAGTTTTATGAGAGTCACAGTCTTTGTGCCCCTTGCGCATCTCCCTCCATGTTGGCTGCACTTATAGCAAATAATTCACAAGTACCCCTATCTGTAGCTTTTCTCGTGAGAACGATTGGCATTGGGTGGAGGAGGAAAGCCAGGGTGTGGTGTTAGCAGCAAACTTTTTTTTTTTTTTTTTTAAGAAAGGTTATAGATGACACACAAATGTTGAGAGAAGAACCGCCTCTGAGTTGATAAGGTGAAAGGAAACAGGGCTAGGCACATCACTGCTGCAATGCCCAAAATCCTATCAGTAAATGAAACAAAATGTAAGTCAGGGAGATAAAACCAGCACTTCTCAGATACAGCAGCACCATGAAACTCTTAAAGCCCTGAAGCTCTGCTAGTGCTATTTGCTGTTCCAGCCCTGGTCTTTAGCAGGCTTTTAAATATAGAATCCAGCTGGCCTCATTTCTTTAGCCAGGAAGTAGGCCATGTAATCAGCAGTTTAAAAAGCATCTTTGAATCCAGATTATGACACTTGTCCTAGCATCTGATATGGGTGTGAAAAGCCAGGTTGGAGGACAGGTGACAGGAGAAGCTACAACCTGCTGGTGCAGTTTCATTCTTTTGGGGGGTAGTTTTGGATTCCAAGTTTTGGAATGGATTTTTAATTCCCATTTGGGAATGAAATGGATTTAAATCCATTTTTGAGACTATAAGCTGGGTGACTTTAGGAACGTCTGTTAGCAGTGAAGATCAACAGGCCAGGCTCTTGCAATCATTCATTTGTGCAAATAATTCTCTAGCTATATTTGCTCCTACCCATGTAGTGGGGAATCAGTCAGGTCTAGGGCATTCTCCAATACAAGCCTCAAATCAGGTGTTGCTGGAACATATGCACTAAACTGGCATCTGACCACATAAACAAACTTGTCTCACCCTGAGATGTTTGTTCCTCCGTTGCAAAGGTTCAGACAAGCTTCTTGTAGACACAGACACCTAGTGGGCCAGACTTAGTGAAAGCCTTATTAAATTATCTTCTAGAATGACCTCATCTTGCTATGATTCAAGAAAAACAGGAATGGGAAAGTATCACTGCCTTGTCACTGCTGGTGTTGTCTCCCATCCTACTGTGAATATTAAAGCTTTGCAATGTTTTGATTTTTGTGGGGATGAAAGTTTTCTTTTGCCCTTCCTCCGCAGTTACTTGTCTAAGCAAGTACCAAATATATATGCTTAATTCCATGGTGAAGCTTTCAGCTTGTGACTAGACAGTGATATAATCTAGGAGACTGGCTCTATCGCAAGCTGAGAGAAAAGGCTTGGAATGAGTAGCTTGTTCTTTCCTGTGACCCATTCCAGTGTTGTGGGTTTTGGCCTTTTGTAAACGTGGTACTAGGATTTTGTCAGTGTTTGAGTGTTTCTGTGGCTTGTAGAGGTTATCTGGCTGCTTCTTAATTAACTGTCTATGACATGGATGCTTGCCATCACAGGTCTTGAGCTCTCTCCCCTCACCTGGTCTTCAGTTAATTGAAGGACATAGCTGCATGGGTAGCTTTCTCTACCTGCAGTGCTAGCACTATGTAAGGAGAGGGCTTTTCTTGCAGGATCGTCTTCCTTAAAGCACCTTATGCTACCCTGAAACGTTAGGGCTCAGCATCCTTCAGAAAGGAACACAGTTCCCCTGGAATTTCATTCTTCTCTTTGTTTTCACAGTAGTTACGCAGGCCTCTGGGTATACCATCTGTTGCCTTGTGTTTTGGTTGGAAGACTTGGCAGACATGCGATGGCAATCAGTAGATCTTTGTACCAGCTCATTCACTAACTAATTGCAATAGAGCAGAATCAAGCAGTAAATAATAACACACCTTCCCTAACATCCAGGCTCTGGATCTTGGGCTTTTCTCATTTGCTGTCAGAACTGAGCTAAAGGAAGGGTCCCACTCCCTTCAGGCAAAAAACTAGTTTCAGTAGAGGCCTGATTTCATCACCACACTACAAACTTATTGATAGCAACTGCTAGATCAGTGCACAACTGCAGCAGCAGAAGGGAGAACAGACTCCCATTGTTTTTTTCCAGTAACTCAAAACTTTCCTCTTTTAAGGGGCATAGACTGAAAGAGACTTCCTGATTATCCATGTAATGTAATCTTGGTTGTATATTTATCAAGCTCCACCTTGAAGTCAGCCAGTCTCTTCCTAGTTCCTCTTTCAGAGCCTTTCCCCAAGATCAGGATTGTTTTGTTACCTGAAGTGAGTGGGTCCCTTCGTTTTTCCTTAAAAACAGAATCACGGAGATAGCAAGAATACAGCAGCCTATGATTACCACTGTTTCCTTCCTTCCTTTATCAGCTAGCTCAGTTGTGACCGAGTATTGGGACCCTTCCAGATGCTTACATCCAAATATTTGATGAAGAGCAACATATTTTAGAACATAGCCTCAGTCTTCCTGGGGGTTTTGCAGCTCAAATGCTAAACATCAGCTACACAAAAGCTGAAGCCCCTGCAACATCTGGGTACATTTAAAGGAAGAATCTAACAAAACCACATTTAACTGCTGTCTATGTTTTCACTTCCTTTCCCATCAACACTAATTGCAAAATGTGTGTAAATTGTGACTTAATTCTGACCCTCCCAGTTGACATCTGACTAATCTAGAAGTCTCTCATGCTTTCTCATCACCCTTTTATCTGTTAATCACATGGCAGACAGTTACACTGCTGAACTGTTTGGATTGGGGGTGGGAGGTTTCATGTTCTGAGGCCTTAAAGGAGAGTCCCAGATGAAATTAACTTTACTGGCAGCAGCACTTTTTGCTGATGCAGGTTCATGGACACAAGAGTTTCAGCTGATGCAAAGATGTAATTAAGCAAGCCACAGCCCTAAGCAGTGTTACAGTACTAGTTCTTAACAGTGCAGAGGCTTTTGAGTTTCTCCCAGCAGGAATGTTAACAGTTTGCTAGAGGGTGAAGGTAGGGAAAAAAAAAGTATACAATGCCCACACAGAGAAACTAAGAGGTGCTCTTCTTCCCACAGAGCACAGCCTTGCTTTGTCTGGTTGCAGACATTTGGATGTTTACTGGAGCAGGATGTCTGGATACAGATATTTATGAGGCTCTTAATTGCATCACACTTGTACTGAAAGCTGACAAGCCAATAATTTCCCAGATAAGGATACAAACAGGATGTTAAAGGTGAGATCTATTTGCTCATCAAGGAAAAGGATTGGTGCCATGCTTATCCCAAAGTGTGCACTATGGACTGAGACCATCAAATCTGGGCCCAGGGAATCGCGAAAATGCCAGCAGCCACCATAGCTGCTCCCAGGAGCACAGGGACTGCAGAGTCCCTGCTGTGGCCAGGCAGGAGCCAGGGCACTGTTACTCATCTGCAGCAAAGCTGGCAGGCATTTTAAAGAGTGACTCAGTGCAGTGACATACAGTCTCCAGGGACCCTTTACTGCTGAGGATATGAATGAGCAGGGATTGCAGCTGCACAGAAGCCCGTTGCCTCAGCAGAGACTTTTGTTCAAAGCGCTCACGTGGCAAAACAAGCAACTACTTGAAAAGGAAGCAGTTTAGCTGATTGTATTCCCTCTCCCTGTTTGATAGCTGGGCTGGGCTTGTTGACCAGGAAATCTTTCAGACTACATTCCTTATTGCCCCTCCCATGCTAGTATTTGTCATAAAGATATCTCCTTCCCCACCACCACTAAGAGGATGCTGGGTGGAGAACCACAGAGCCAAGCTGGCTTCCACAGCCACCTTTCTTTCAGTGGAAATAGATCACAAATGGACTACCCTTAGTGGCTGCAGAGCCTGTTTGCCTGAACCTCATCTCAGCAAGCTAACAGATAGCACAATCTAATGCCTCTTGTGCTGTTAGAGGATTGTGGCTAGGAATGCAAGCCCATGCTTCAGCCTTATCAGGAGTGAGCTGGACCCATATGCTAAGTCCTCTTCACCTCTGTTTTTCCCTAGGGCAGTGAGTGAGACAGGATTGCAAACATCTAGACATGGGTCTCTCAGAACAAATCATGGGAGGGTGGTCAGCACTTAGAGAGCAAGCAGATCTACCAGCTTACTATGGGGACAGCAATTTTTACTTCCATGACTTTGTGTTGGTGGTATAGCTGTTACTACACACTTACCAAAGAAGCTGTTGCTTAAAGCTCAGTACCAATCCCTTTGCTTTGAATCCAGGGTGGATCAATTAGCAGTTACACTTGACTGGCACAGATCAGCAGTGCTCATCCTGTCCCTCCCATAAAGGGAGGCTCAGGCAGAGGATTGGGTGTGAGGCTGAACCCAGGTCAGCTGAGCTTTGCTCCCAGTGTGGCATCATATGTTATATAAGCTGTTTGAACTGCTCGTCTCTTCTGCAATTTTTCAAGCAATAAAATAACAGGTACTTTACTACTTTTAGAAAGAGCTGAGCAACTGTAAAATATGTGCACACAGAGGAAAGTTATCTGCACCCTGCTGAAAATGGGGTCCTTCCAGGATGTTCCCATAAGCTGACTTTTCTCCTTGCCTTTTTATTGTACAGTGTACTTTGGCATTGTTCTTTGGTTGCAGTGGTGAGGGGCATTTGAGAGAGTTTGGTCCAGCACCCATCATACTAAGTGGAAAAAAGTCTATTGGTTCAGCTCTGAAGGGCTCTTTCCAAGCCTCTGGCCAGGATAGAGCATGACTGGAGCCTGGTGTCCAGGCACAGCCCAGATACTGCCATAATGCTTGATATTTTGCTCATGTTTTCATCCCATTGTACTTGGGATGTGCAGTGTCAAGGCTTAAGAACACACACAGGGCAGCAGGGCATTTGGTGCTGAATAGGGGCATCAAGTGCCTCATTATATCCAGAGGAAATGCACAAGCGTGGTACAAGAAAATGCTAGCTAGCCACAGAACCCTTCTGGGCCGGCCATGTGATCTGCCTTCCCACAGCCTCACGGCTTTCCCTGCATGCCTGCTCTCTGCGTCTCCCACAGATGAATTCCTCTGAACAACTTTCTTATGTGCTGTGATTGGCATTTTGGTTTCAATGCCCATATCCCAGACCCATTAACTCTTTAGATTCATGGAAAAATCTATCAAGCAGCCACGACTGACCAACCCCAAGAGAAAACTATTAAGATATTCAGCTGGTCTTAGCCAAAGCTCCGAAACATGCTCTGCTGTTACAGTCGGTATCTCCCCTTACAGTGAGAACAAGGGCAGCTCTCTACACTTCCACATTCTGCACATTCCCCAGCTCGGGGCTGGTTTCAGAGCCCTTCCTCTGCCTGAGCTAATGTTACATGGGGCAGTGCTTGGCTCCCTGGCGCCCCACACCTGTCAGAGGGACTTGGCTTTTCCTGGAAATAGCTCCCTTCACAGCATTTGAGGCACTGCACAATTGGAGGGTCATTCATTTGATGCCCCTGGGAGACAGCACTGAGAGGCTCAGCTGTTCTTTTTTTTTGCCCTCCCACAACACTCAAGGAGAGTGCTCAACAAAATATCTCCCATCTGCTGATTCATGGTGACACATGAATCTTTTCCTTACAGACAGCAGTGGCTATGGTGCAAACAGAGCTATCAGCTGATGCAGCTGGAGCTTCCTAGAGGCACAATAAAGAATCTGGAGCAGATTTCTAAAAAGCCAAGCTCCCCCCTTGCCTTTGGGCTCAGGCAGGGTGCAGGATGGGACAGAAGCCCTTATGCATGGCAGGTGCCTCTTCTGCCCTTCCATCAGCCCCCTGTGAGCTTCTCAGTATAATGCTTAAGGGCTCTCACTCCCACTGAAGGCATCTTCCTATTCCTGTATTTCAGAGCAGCATTTTGGCCACCCCAGGAGAATTTCCAGAAGTGGCAGTAAAAATTTGCACAAAGCTGAGCACTCACAGTTCCTGTCTCTCTTGTAGGGGAAACCACATCATACCCTAAAGGAGATACCAGTGCTCTGCAAAGCCCTGTGGTTGACAGCTCTGCAGATACAATAGTTCTTGATAACTTTAAGCTGCAGTCACTAGCAGGTTGGACTCTCATGATTCCTTAGGGTCTACACTTAATATTGCCAGCCTTCTGTTGTAGTCTACCTCCATGCTAGACAGATTCTGCTTAGCCTTGTCACTCAGTCAGCAATCATCTGCACAGGCAGACAGAAACCTGGGCAGTTTCAGCCACAACCTCTTGGGTCAGGTTATCCTTAAACTCAACCAGCACAGCATAGCAGAGACTCAGTTTACACTTGTAACGTGCATTTGCCATAATGGCTGCCATAGGCACTGTTTATAATTGGATTCTGCTTAAGGGCAGCTTTAAAAGAAGTTCTTAAGAAATGTCTTATAAATGTCGTATCTTTAAAAGAGTAAACAACTCAAGAGAATATCTAGCAAGAGCTAATGAAGTGCTTTTAGAGAAAGGGTTGCAAGGTGCAGATTCCCTCCCATCGTCTCCAGTGACTGCAGAGGAGTTCCTCTCTGAGAAATCTGGTGGCTCCTCCTCTGACATGACCCACAGCTGGCTCCTGGCAGACAGCACAGGGTTTTTTCTTGGAAATGCTCTGCTCTGGGTTAGAGTCTTGTCCTGCTCTCCTTTCTAGGAGAGTAGGAAAAAAAAAAAAACTTCAGTGTGTAGAGCAGCAAAACCTTTGAGCTCAGTCTAGCTCTTTCACTGAAATCTCACCCTTTGGCCACAGTGAGGGAGGCAGGGGGTCAAAACTTAACAGATATTTAATTCCTGCTACAGATACAACATCCCAATAGGCCTGCACGCCAACCTGTCTGAGGGCTCTCCTGTCTGTGAAGTGCTCAAGACAAACTCTTCTCTGCTTAACCAAGATGGATTCTTCCATGGGAAAATGGGATTCAGAACAGCTCTATCAAAAGGTCTCCTGAAAATGTCAGAGGTAGAAGAAAAAGCCACATACAACTTGCTTTCCTTGTATAACTCAGCCTTCACTCCTCCCAGCACATAGCAGTTGAAGATCTTTCCCAGGTCCCAACTTGGAGTAAGCTTAGAGATGACTCTATAGACTGTGTTGTCTGGGCAGCAGGAGGCGGCTTTCTGGGTCCCATGCCTAGTTCTGCCACTAAGCTGCTCTGCAGCATTGGACAACTCATTCCTCCCTGCTATGCTTCAGTGGCCACGTGCATTGATGTGCTGTAAGGACTTATCTGGAGGGGTGGGTGGAGAGGCAAGGGAACATACACTTGCAAAGAACTTTGAGATCACTAAAAGGAAAAAGCAACAGAAGTACTAAGTAGGGGCTAAGCAGGCTTTGCCTCACCTTGTGAGATGCCTCTTTTCTCCAGGGAAGTGGACCATTTTTGCTTCATAGTCTACTAGGATGATGGAGTTCAGGTGACTAAAACTCTCTATAGGATTTGGCACCCATTTCCCCATTCATTTTATAGGGAAATAGGTATCCAAATCCCATAGATATTTTAGAAAAATCCCAGCCTCTGTGCTATCTATGTAACTAGTGCTATAAGGAGAACTGCACCTAGGAGAGGCCCTGGGGGACCCAGCAGCATCACATGTCTATTTATACACCAGAGCACTTTGTGCCTCCCAGGGCCAGGTCCCAGATGCTCACAATGGCCAGTGAGGTCTCCAGCAGCTCCCTTGGGTTCTCCTGATCTCTGCATTACTGACAGGTCTTTTTTCTGCCCTTTCTCTGTTGCACAGGTGAAGCAGGAGCTAAAGGCACAGGTAGAGCTATTCCGTGAGCTGACAGGCCACCTACCTCCCCACATGGATGGGCACCAGCATGTTCATGTCCTTCCAGGTAAGAGAGTATTTCTCTTCTTCCCAGCCCCAAAGGAAGAGAGACAGTTTGCTCAGAGGGAGCTCCCCTCACCATGGCTCCATTTGGGCACTAAACCTCACCATAAGATGCTTCCTCCACAATTCCAGTTTAAAACATTGGCCCTGAGGAGATAGTCCTGCCTGGGCCCAAATTGGCTGCTGGGTGACCTGGGTCTTCCTGTAGCAGCGCAAGGGGATTAACAGCACAAATTGCCCAGCTTGCACCTTCTCCTCCAAGGACTGATAGTTCATTTCAACATCTTTCTCCTAATTCCATGCTCCCGCCACCATGGAAGGAAGCAGAGCAAGGCCCTTGGCAGCCTGGCCAGTTTAAAATACTCAGGCAGGAATCTGGAATGCTCAGGTCTGAGATTTTACTGTTCATTAGCTTAATAGCTCTAAAAAGTTGCAGGCTTCTTTCAGCCTCATTTTATCAATATCAGCTATGAAACACTTGTACTTGAAGGCATCAGCACAGGAGAAAGGGAAATCCTATCATCTTTTTGTCAGGGATGGGAGCTCAGAGGTATGAGTGTGGGGCAGATGTGCCACTAATTATGCATTTGGAAACCCTCCCTTGTCCTGTCTGGTTCTGGGGACTTCCTTTACCAGCAGCTGTGGCTTGGATAGTTGTGCAGAAGTCAGATCAGGGCCTCATTTTGCCTCCTACAGTCAATTAATCTGGTCCCCTGCATGCATTCAGGGCTTGTTTCTGGCATTTCCTCAATCTCAGTGGCTTTATTAAGCTACAGGAATTACATGTTATGCATAATAGCTCAGCTCCTGCTCCCTCTCCCCCTTGGCACAATGGGGAGTGTGTGGTTAGGAATGAAACAAGAGAGCTGGTACCCAGGTAGGGCAGCTAGGTCATCTCATCCCCTACGCTCCTTGTCAAACACAGCCCAAGCTGCAACCTGTGCTCAAAAGCATGTGTGGAGCCTCTCAGGTGGGGGAGGAGCTGGGGAGACATTTTACACTATGTTTTGCAGACATGACAGCATTAATAGAGGCTGAAAAGAGTCATGGAATACAATGCTGTTCAGAGTGGGGGGAGGGGGAAGAGGGGACTCACCCTACAAATCTACCTCTAGTGTTGTCTGCTAATACTTTCTTAGAGTAATAAAGTTTATTAATTTTGGAGGTCACTTCAATGAGAGGAAGTGATCAGGTTGCATTTAGAAGAATGCATACTTTTCTGGCTCTCCAAGATCATTGTTCCTGGGGAGAAAGATTGTAGTACTGACCACACAGGCAGAGGAAGGAATTACATGGGGCCTTCTGGGGCAGTGACAGCAGTGCAAATACTCTGAAGTGCCAGCACACACTTTGGAGGATGTGCTTCAATCCCTTCCTCTGCCAGAGCTCTGGTGCTGGTGTCAGCAGGGGGGCAGTAAATGGAGTGCAGCTGCTGAGGGGGCTGGAGAGCTTTTCATTTGTTTGTCACTGATGGTAACCATAATTAGTTGAGTGTGCCCCACTCACAGGTAAGTCAGCAGGCTACAGGACTATTTTAGGGTTTGGAATTTGGTCTCTGGCTTCTGGGTCCAAATTCAGTCCCATCTCCCAGCAGGCCAAGAGAAGGTCCAAGTCCTGCCAGCAGAGGCCGAGAGCTGGAGGACAAGTCTCCTTTTAGGCAGATCAACTCATTCAGCAATGACGAAAGCCTTTCTGCAGGTGGAACTGATGCAAAGGCACCTCCGAATAAACTTGTGCCCTGGAGAACAAGTTGCATCAGGACAGCCTGGGCTGTGTCCAACTTGTAAGACTGGTGCTCTAAATTGCCAAGTTAACCACTGAGATTAGTACTTGAAAGAGCTACCAGCTTTAGAGCAAGAACTCCAAGCTAAGGCCTGCAGACAGAGACTGGTCAGTAAATGCAATTGATAGGATGCTTTCCACAGTTGGCAAGTATCTTTTTCCCTGTTTTCTGAGCAAGGTCATTGTGGTACAGAGATAGACAATTTGGTGAGCAAAAATCCAGATCTCTCCACTCCAGCACTCAGCTCCCTCTGGATGAAATTTCTTTTGGTAATCTTCCCTCATAACAAATCTGGCTGCCCAGTGACTTGATGAAGAATTTGTTCCTGACAGTGCAAAGTCACCTAAGCTGCACTCTAAGCCCAGAGTCACTAACTTAGAAAGGGTTGCTGGATCAAATGCTCAGCCACAAGGGGGAAGATAAGCTTCTCAACAAGTTGCTTGAGCAGATGTTGAAGGAGTAATGTTACTAATTCAGAAAGTCCCTCCCTGTAACACTGTACTTTAGGTGGGGAAAGAAGTGTTCTGGGGACTCCTATCCAGATGAAGGAAACCATCTCAGTAGAAAAAGAGGTAACTGGAGCTATGTTTTTGTTTTAAAACATGGAAGGGAAAGACATCTTTGTGCTAACAGCTTGCTGGAGACATGATGAGTTGGTTATCTGATTTGTGACCAAATTGTCTCTGTTTTTACTTGTAGAAGTCAGACATGTATTTGCACAGGTGTTAGAGGAGTATGGGATCAAGTACACTCGTGTCCCAATAGAACCAGGCCTTCACAAGTGTGAATGGATTGCACCATCTCTGATGGACTTCTATCGGGGAGTAGAAGAAGATTCTCTTAACACAGTGGATGTGTTTACAAGGCATGGAATAAGGTGAGACAGGCATTACTCATTCTTGTTTGTATTAAAGAACTCAGATCTTACCAGCTCTTGATAACATATTTCCAAGATTTAAGAACACCATTCTCTCTCCACTTTGGGGCTGATAATGAGATTTCAGGATGAGTACAAATCTGTGAGGAGGCACTAGGGCTTAGTATGTAGTTTTGTTTGAACTGAGATGACTCACTTCTCACCTGAAAGGTATTGTTCCTGTCAGGGTATGTTTATTCCTCAGCCTTTCTAATTAAGCAGCATTAGTCTAGCATCTGGGACAGTAGGAGACTGAAGTTTTCTATTAACACCAGAATTTTAAAAGTAAGATTTAAGGCAAGTTTTCCAAAAAAATAACTTTTAATCTCCCTGCAGTAGCAGAGAAAGTATTTAAGGAGCAGGAAAGAGACTTATTGGAAACAAGTGTTTCTTATTAACAACAGGCAAGAAGATGAGAGAGCTCACAGTATAACAGCAGGTGACTGCTGGCCTAAGCAAACAGTCTTGCCAATATCCTGCACCTTACTGGAATCAATACCAAAAAAGCTCAGCCCTTCCCCCAGTAACATACTTTAAAAGCTTAAATTGGACAGTGTTTTATAGAGGAAAGATGTTTCAGTTCAGACCCTTGCAGTCATCTATCCCATCCTTTATAGCAAGTTTCTTTCTTAGTCTACTGCATTCTCTTGGATCTTAAAGAGCTTGTTCAGGATATCAATTGTTCTCAATTACTACTTCCTTTAAAACACACTAGCAAAGAGCCTAGTTGCTCTCTCAGGTAGAGCATATGTATTGAATCAATTGCCAAGCAAGGTAAGGGCACAGAAATTCATAGAGCAGTTAAGAAAGAAAGAGATTGCAAACCAGCCTTTTTGAGCAGTTTCCTGCCAGTGCTAGGCAGCTTAGAGGAGAACCCACACACTCCAGGCCTCCTGATGCCCTCTCCCCTGCCCCATACTTTACCAGAATAGCAGATTCAGAATGCCTCACAGGAGATGCTCTTCCAACAGGTCTTTTCTCCCAGCAGCACAGAGGTCCTCAAGGGTAGGACCTCTGTGCTAGCAGGGCACTTCTGCTTTATAGCCTCCCATAGCACCACCCCTCCTTGATGGCTGTGATGCTTTGCAGCTGCATCCTGCATGGAGAAGTTGCAGTCAGCCAGCAAATGCTTACTTGATTTCACCTCTTCTCCTAGTGAGGGAGACTAAACAGGACAAATTGTTGTAAAAGAAACATGCATATCTCTAAGAGAATGGAAAGAGCTGAAGTCAGTCAGCTGAAGTCAAAAGGAACTAAACTCCTGCAGCTCAACTTCTGCAGCTGTGCAAAGAGGTTCCACACAGAGCCCCTTTAGTTCAGCTTATGTGATGCTGTAGAGGACAAGATGCTGCATGACAATGATGCTTTATTGACTTTAATCACAGCCTCTAGCTTGCTTCTTCTCTAGCTACGTAGTCCTCAGTAATAATAATGTTCTGCCCGGTGTTTCATCTTTTAAGTAGTTTTGACTGCTGTATACGTGGAGAGTGATTTGTTAGCTGGGTGCTTCCATTTTATTCCAGTCACTTTTTTTTGTTTTCACTTAGTCAAGGGTTATTTGGAGATGGTTAGTATTCAAGTTTTAATTGACCTATCAATAGTAAATTATTTTGATAGGGTATATTGTCTCAGTTGAGTAAGACCTTTCCCTTCTGCACCAATAAAGTGCAGCTGTAAATTCACAGATGCCAAACAATCCTTGTTCTGTGACACAGTGTCATGCATAACTACGGTAATAACAGAAATGTTATTTGGGGGCTTTGCTGGGACTATCTGCCAGACTGCAGAACTACAGCTTTAAATAGTATCATAGGTTTGGTAATAAGGAAAGAAAAAGCACTGTTATTTGCACTGTTATCGTTTTTCCTTTTGTTTATAGTTAGAAGTTTATAATAACTTGAGAACGTGAAGCCTTTTTTCTCTGTTGTTATCTTAAGTTTTAGGTTAACTTTAATTCCTAAGCCAATAGACATAGCACAGCCTTGTCTAGGTACCTAGCCTTAGTATTAATTTCCATGTTCCCTCCTCTGCCTACAGGTGGCCTAACATTTACATAGGTTTGAGTACCATGGGCAAGAACATGTCTGTGAGTAACATCTGGAGTGCCATTGATACTGCCATTGGGGATTTCACTTCCAAGCTGCCCTCGCCCGCACACCTGAATCCGCAGAGCAGGACAGTAACAATTGAACTGATGGTACATCCAGGGTACCCGAGTGTCCCACCCATCGGCGGCTGTGGGGAAGGACCAGACGACTTCTCACAGTCCTGGGAACGCTTGCACGAACTTCGGACTTTAATCAAGCCAGAGCTGCAGAGCCACTACAAAAGCAGGAGCATTCAGCTCTGTTCATTCAAAGATATTTAAATGAACGAGCATATGTCCCTATCTTCAGAGTACAAATAAATGTATGTAGTTGGCAATATCCTGAGAAGCTAGACCATTGTTACCACTGTTTGTAATACTTGCTGATACAATACAGCTGATGGGAGCTGGGAACAGCTGGGAACAGCATAAGGCCTTTCAAGGAAGGAGAGCCACCTGGACCCTGTAAGCATCTGTGGGCAGTATCACAGAACTGCTACCCTAATTGGTATTTTTTTAAGCCACGGCAGCTGCTTTGAATGTGACCAATCTCTGCATCACCCACTCGCACACCACTCCAGTGCAGTGTAGCAGCCACGGTCTAACCATCCTACCAGATTTCTATTCTGGCCAGTGCAAAGGCAAGCAGCACGAACACACTCTTGGATGTTAGACCAAGGAGCGCTTACAGCAGTTTGTGAGCTCTTCTATATGAGAAAATGACACTTCTCCCACCTTAACTGCAAAAAGAAACACACGCTAAGGAGCAAAGGCTGCTTTAAGAACAACTGCTCCATGTAGGGTGCCTGCGGAGGCCTGACAACCTTCATTGTTAGGTTTTTTTTTTCTAAAGCAGAGAGACAGTCTGGATTTGCTGCTTGGTTCCCCCCACACGCACACTTGTGCCTGCACATTTATGGCAAGGGGTGTGTTATTTCAGACCCTTTCTCTGGTCAGAGCAATGAGCTGTTAGCCCAGTCTGCAGTCACATTCCATGCAAGTCCTCAGCCAAAGGTAGTTACAGTTCTTTCTATTTATGTTGCCTCTTGGCATTGAGCTATCACAGGAAAGTAGCATCAATGACAGCCCTTTCAGACAGGCTTTTTCCCTTTTTTTTTTTTGGGGGGGGGGGAATGACTTTGCAAGAACAGCAACTGTTAACCCATCTGCTATTTCAGTAACTGCTGCATATAAGAGCTCACCGGCAACTGTTAACGCACTGCCCACTGCCTTTCACGAAAAACACGTGGGATGGCCATGTACCTACCAGGAGTAAGTTTTCAAGCATGGAGAAGGCCCTTGCATTTCCATTTTTATTCCCTGCATGAAAGCATTTGGACTTCAACAAACCCTGCTGATTTGCTGTATTACGGTTACACTGCAGTTTCAACTGTAGTCCTGCTTCATTCACCCATAACTTTTTCAGAGAAAAAAGTCTTCTTTTACATCATTCATACTCATTGTCCTCTCAAAAATGATCTATTTAATGTCCTTTTTTTTACTTAACTGTATTTTTTAATGTCAAAAATTTCAATATGATCATAATTCTTTTAAGTGAAGAATAAACTCAGGCCTTTTTTACTGTAATGCTTTAGGAGGCTTTGGCTTTTAAGTTTTTAACTGCTAGGAGAACAAACTACAGAACACGTTATGAGTATCTGCTCCTACTGTGACAGCCTACAGAGTGCAGAAAGGACAGATTTTTCCATCATTAATGGGAACCATTCAACCTTTCCTCTCAAGCAACCGAGAAACTTTTTGCTTTGTACATACATGAGAAACATAACATCAAGGTTGCTTTATGTGATATTTTTCAGGTCCTTCCGTAAATTATTGTCACTAAATTAATTCAACAGAGGATACATATATATATTTTTAAACAATGTCTCTACCATACTGTACAGATGAAATACAGAACAGCTGAGTCAGATTAAAATAGTAGTTACTGTTTGGGAGGATGATTTCTGACGCTTGACTCATCAGTGTTTGATGGTAAAGTTTCTGGCATGTGATAAAGAGAACAAAAAAACCCCAAGAAATTTCAGAACTGCAGTTGTTTCACAGAGAAAGTGACTGACGTTCCAGAGATCAGGTCGACGTGTGAGTGCCATCTAGTGACTGATACTTTACTCATATCCAGTAACATGCCTGACAGCAAAGTGAATTTCTAATACTAGAGCTCAGACTTTTACATTATGTGACCACATTTTGTTGGATAATTTTTAACTATCTCTTTAACTTTTAAATTACTCCACGTTCTAACTCATGGATTTGCTTTGCTCACAGTCACGAGGACCTTACATCCCCGTTCGTTTTAACTGCACGCATTTTCCACTTCGTTCACACTAACACAACACTGGCATCGACATGATGGCAATCTTACCTGAGTTGATCCTGTAGTGCAAACAGAAATAAATATTTTGTAAATTCTGTATTTTTACTGAACAGCATTAAAAACATTTTCTTTTAATTTCAAAAAAAATTAAATGGAGAAAGGAATAAAAAAAACTACTGAAAGACTTTAAATATGGAACCTTTAAACTGTGTATAATGTACACAGATAAGGAAATAAATTCTCAGTGGTTCTATGAAACCTTTAAAGGAGACACTGAGTTCAAAGTAAAAACACATTCAAGACCACTACCTAAAAATCTCATTATATCAAGATACTTAAAAACAAATAAATAAATGAATGAATGAAAACCCAGTCTCTCTGAAAATAAAACCATGCCACAAAGCCTTTGAGAGCATTTTTATTAGGGTAGCAGAATGGAATTGCAGAAAGCCTATACCAGTACTCCTGGGTGTAGTTTCACCAGTACGTTGCTTTTGTTTTGGATCTTAAACTGCAGGTTAAGAATTCAGCATGGCTTAGGGAACCAGAGAGAACGGGAGCTTGGTTTCCTGAGTTAACGCAGGTCTCAGCACTTTGATTGTTTCTCCCCTCAGACTTCAACCGTTCAGTACAGCATTTGATCTGTCTTTTTCAGAGGGCACCTATAAACAAAAGCTGTCGCTTGGGTTACACATCTTGTAGTTTAGAAATTGAACTACGCAGAAGGCACACAGAGAACTGATAGTAATACTTTCCTTCTATGTGACCTTTACAGATGACATGAGAATGGCTGGTATAGCATTGCTATCGGCCTGTATGACTCCAAACTGCAACTCCTTGAATTACACAGCCCTTCCAGTTCCCCTTCAATGGCATCCAAGTCACACTGACTCAAATAAATGCAGTATTTAACCTGAGAGGCTTACAACCAGAAAGCATACTATTTGGTAGTAACGAGGGCAGCAAACCAGTGCTACAGTTTCGTTTTTAAATAAAAAAGAAAATTTAGAGAATGGCAAGTTTCCATGCCAACAGACATGATCAAAAGGAACAGCGACTCATTTAAGTATCTGATGCAGAAGTTATACACACTTCAGTTTGACAGATAATTTGGCATTATTTTATTATGAATCTGAGCGAGCGTGAATGAAACAAAATCTGTACCAACTTTCTGCAAATGAAGACACAAAGATGTGAAAATTTGGTAATAGACAGTGCTCTCACAAGCCTGAAAACACTTATGAAATGCAAGTTTCCGTAAATAAGGTGAATGTGGTTTAACTTTATTTACCTGCCAAAGAATCTGTCTAAGAACACTTAAACATAAAATTTCTTAGCTCCCTAACTTATAAAAAAAATTTACTTTCAACAGAGGTGAGGTACTGGGCTGTCATTGTTTACACTAAATCTGAAATCAAAGGTGGATGAGAGGGATGAATGGAAGAAAAAGCACATATACAAGACGTGAGAACCAAAGAGACCTACTGCTTGACACGCTGGTTCTGAAATGTCACAAAGGCAGAGGCTGTACTAAAACTGATTTTAGGAGTACAGATACCCATCTGGATGCGAGGGATTTTCTAATGCAACTTCCTGCACATCAAAATGATATGTACTCCCAGACACCTATGGATTTCTGGAGATAAACCTGCTTGCTCAATAACATACCCAAATTCTACAGGGGGGGAAAGAGAAGGCAGTTTGATTGTATGGCAGTTTGAGTGTTGAGCTATGATCACACTTGAGATTTAGGGAAAAAAAGATAGGCAGCCAAAAGAAAAGAATAGAGACACAATAAATGATGCCCAAATCTGAACAGGAAGGGCTTCCTTTAGCATGCATAGGTGTGCCCTGGAGCAAAAGGGAAACAGTTCTGCCTGATTAAGTTAGAATGATAGAATGATACGTGAAGTACTCATTAAATCATCTAACTCAAATGTTTGTATTTTTCAAGCATATGAACAGTAGTAGTGAAGTGCACTCTATTACAGTTTATTGCTTAATCCTATTCTCATATCATTTTCAGCAAGAACTGTACAGTAATTGAGCAGGGAAGTGGGAGGAGTGCCACCCCATAAAATACAGATGTTTCATCTGCATTCTGATGGAAAAAAAACGTACTCTGAGAACTAGCAGTGCTGCCAGGTTTAGCATTTAAGTTCAAAATTAACATTTCCCCAAAGTATTATTTTTTTTTTTAACTCCAAAAACAGTTTATCACTTTGGCACCTCTTGGTCCCCAGTTTCTGAAACTCTTCTAACCTGGTTGCAGTGTTGTTCTGTGCAATTTTTCCTAGCTGCTCTGCACAGGTACTAAGAATAGAAGTGAGAGAAGTTCACAATCACATTCCACTATTCATTTGCTACAGATTTTTTTTTCCCAAAAAGTTTTCCAAAAGCAGGAAATAAGCCATATTTTAATTCAATCACGCACACAAAATCTTGGGTTTCCCCGTTTAATAAACATTATTGTGGTAACATCAGCCAGATTTACATAAGACCTGGACATTATTTCTGATTGTTTTTGTGGGGTTCATCTGGTTTTGTTTATGTTACAAACTGAAGTTAAGGGGAACTTGCAACAAGTCCCACAAAGCACAGTGCAACATTTAAAGAGAAAAGTAAACAAAACTGCCAAACACTCAATCATTTTCTGCCAGAACTGGGATAATTTCTCTAAGATATCAGTTTGAGGAGGGAGAAAAAATTCAATGAAGAATTAAGTGAACTCAAGAGAGTGGGAACTGCAAGGGAAAAAAATAAGAAATGACAGCCATAACCTTTTAAATTTAAGGGCAGAATATAAGTCTAAGATATTTTTGATAAATTCTGACAAGAAAAAGAAAACAGCATACTTTAAAGTATATTGAAGCAGTGATTTTTAAACAAAGAAAGCAGAACTAGAACATCTTAAATTTTTAATCCTTTCTTTACAGGTTACCTAGCCCACTTTTGATTAAGAAAACTGTAGAAAGTTAGTAACAGCCACAAGTTAACACCGAAAGGTGGCACTTGTCAATTTTCCATAGAGTCCTGCTTTACGGGGTGTCTCAAATGCACTGCTCCGATCTTCTATCATACGTTGCTGACATCAATTGTGTCAGATTTTAGTCCACTGGTCGCTTTTCACCATATTTCTTTGTAAACTCTTCAGCATTCTTACAGAATTTTTTACGGTCCTTAGAGTATTCTTCAGCTAGGTCAGCCCGAAGGGGGTGTTCGGGCTGTGGATCATTCACCAGTGCTATGAGGGACTGGATTACTGTCAAAAAAAGTATAAATACTGTCAGAGACTAATATGGTTATTTTTTAAAATCAAGATGTAAGCAAAATGCCCCAATAATAAGCGACTTAAGCTGCACTTACATACATCCCTATACATTTTTTTTTTTTAAGAGCAGAGCAACATATTGCATAAACAAGCTATAGCAACATATTAAGCTTTAGTTTAATAACAGTGAATGAAAACCAGAAAAGCACATTTGAAAACTAAATCAACTTCAATATAGACCAAAGCGTACTACAAATTATTTCTTGTGTAACTGGATTCCTATCAATGAAATATTCTTTATACGGCTAAGGAAGAAACTAAGTGTTACAGACAAGCTCACTACAGGTTTTTTCCTAACGCCTGTTGTAGGTGTAATGTCGTAGGTGTAACTGGGCCTGCTTTTGGAAAACATTTTTTCAGCTTTATTTTTCTATGACTCTCCTCCCATTACTCTAATAAATACATCCAAATACACGTGCTAGTGGAGATATACTGGGTAACTGGTATACTGGTTTACACAAACGGGTAAGAACTGCAAGATGCTTTTCACCCCACTGTTTACTACTATTTCATCAGCATTCCCATATAACTTCCAAGGGAAATGTCATTCTTAGGGTAACCAAATTATACTTCATGCTTGCGCAATGAACGCTGCGTACTGCAATGATATTTAATGCTGCATTTTCCTCATGTACATTCTTATGACCATCTAAAACTAAACTGGTTACAAAAATCAGGAGTTCTCATATCCAGCATCAGAAGGATTATGCATAACTGGACACCGCAACAGCAAGCGCGGACATGGAAAAAAGTATTTCACACTCTGACACTATTAATAATATTCCATTTGAAGTACGTCCGTGATATGCAAAACAACGCACAGCAGTACCCCAAGAGCTTTTACAGCAAGTATGCTAAAAATCTGTTAACTTCATGCCTTCCACATGGGAGCCAGCTGCCTCCTGAACTTACACGAAAAGCTGGCATCCACCACGGCCGGCAGCAAGGAGTTCCCCAGCCCAGCTACACGCTGCGTGAAAAGCCGTGGTCTTTCGCTTGTTCTGAAACTGCTACCTACTAGCTGCCCTGGGTTCTCCCTAGCTTCGTGACGTACGTTCTTATAACGCTGGCCACTCTGGTTGCTGCGAGGCTGCTGGAGAGGTGTCTTGCAGAGCACATATCTTTTGGTGCTCACACCCTTTTCCACCCTTACCTAATGGGGACGGGGAACATAGCTCAAAACCAACACTCAAAATCCAGAAAAGTAAGCTTGACACTCCATAGCGAAGCAGGATGCTGAACTCACATTTTCTTATAAATCAGAGTTTAAACTGTATCAAACTGTACAAGGAATGTAGCACTGATATTAGCTTACTTCACAATAACTAACCAGTCCTGTACTTCTGAGATACCATATTAATGATTACTTACAAAACTAGTATCAATACTGCATGCTCAGTAAACATGCTAAAACACTGCAGAAAAAGTATCACTGTGTTATTAAGGTTATTTAACACGCAACTTAAAAAAAAATTGCATTGTCATAACACTAGCTGCCCCAATAGGCAGAGCATCTTAAAACTATACTCTTACAACAATCTTTCTTAATATTAAGCATACACTGATAACAAGTACAAGCTGTAAGATATACATTTAGTACGTATAAGGTTTGGGAGTTAATGACATACGATAAACCTAATCCCTTCATTTCCTGACACTTGACTGATCAAAAACAATCATCTTAACGTTGTACTTATAATGTGGCATTATTTCCTTGAAAAAGGCCTAAGAGACAAACGGACTAAAGTTTATTTTTCAGGGCAGAAGAGTTTGAGAGAGAGGAACAGACACTTAAGCAGGGCTGCTAATGTTTTGTTGTAGCTTTGTGCAAAGACAGCAACAACGCCAGAAACTGAGACAACTTCCTGAAGAAAGAGGAAAATCAGATGAAAGACCGCAAAACAGCAAAACTGTAAGATCTGCAATATTTTGGTACCCAGGATTTGTTCCAAATTCTGATGTTAAGACAACTTTTATGCCCTCTCTCAGAAAAAGAGGATTTTGCTATTTATCTGTGAGAATTGACTATTTCCCACATGCAAACAATTGCCTCAGCACTTTCAGCTGATGCCAACTTTCATTTCAAACTAGGTAGAAATGAAATGTCATTCCTTTACTTTACTAGAGAAGGCAATACACAAATAAGACTAAGACAACTGCTATGTTTTTGATGGAAACCTTCTACACATCGCTAATTTTTTTTTCTCCCACGGGTCTGTCACTGGTATAATTTGAGATAAACTAACCACAAAGCATAAGTTCTTCACTCACCTATTTTGATTTTAGCAGGCTCATTTCGTCTCCCCCCTCCCCTCTGCACTTGCTCTTTTCCCAAGGCAGTAAAGACCTGAAGGAGGGGTCTAGAAGAAGGATGTATTTTGTCTCGCAGAGTGAGATTCTTCAGCGTCACTAAAGCTTTTACACTGGACTAAACTGCTATTAATTTGGATTCATAATATTAAAAAACCCTGTAATTACTGCAAGAATGCTTGCTGTTTTTGTAAGTACAACAATAAATGCTTAATATCAAACTAATTGCATCTTCTAGAAAACATAAAATTCTCAGTACACAAATTAATGGATGAGCAACAGAAAAATCTGTTGAGATCATATCCTCAGTCTGCCTAAGAATCCGATGAAACATTTTTCTTTAAAATATCTAAGTTCTTATCCAAAGATACTCCACACAGTAAGCTTCACAGCAGCCACTTTTTAAGAACCAAGAGTTAATTTGTGTTATTATTTCAGTTTTTGTTTATGGCTCCCCAGATATTTCAAATCAGATGTTGAATTCACTAAGCCACATTGCACAGATAAATTACAGGAAGCCTTGGGGTTTTAGACCCTCTCTTTCAAACAACCAGAAACGTACTGAACAGCTCTGGATTATAAAGTCACTGTTTTAAAAGAAACACAAAATACACACACACCCCAACCAGAAATGTTTTTTTGTTGTTTAGTATGCCAAGGACACTACCTTAAACTCTTCAGTCATTAAGAGTTTTGGGGTTTCCTGGAGGTAGAAATGCCACTGCAGCCAAGAATAAGCGTCACTACCTTATGTTCCAATGACAAGATGAGGTTCTAGAAGAGCTGCACACTGCTCAGAAAGTGTGATTCATGATGCAAACCTTGTAACAAACGATATACTAGACCAGCTATAACCAGATGACAAGCTGAAACCGCTATTAGTTTCAAGCACACAAAACAAAGTTTCTCAATATCCAGTTCTTTCTCCACATGGAGTCCTACCTTGGTCAGTTTTGGTTGCTGGCTTCCAGTTTTCAGCACTAATTACCGGCAGACAAACCTGCCCCTTTTCATCGATATTAGGGTGATAGATCTTTGTTTTAAATGTAATCTTAGGAGGTTTGAATGGATATTCTGCTGGAAAGTTGATTTCGATTCTGAAGGCTCCTTTGTCATATGGAGGATTGTCCTGCAACGAGAAGACAGAACATCAAGAGCCTGGCATATTCTAACGGACACAGTTTAAGAAAACACGTTACAGACTTCAACCTATCAAATGACCTTTTTAAGGCGCTTTTTCCCAACACAGAGCATCATGTCTGTGTGTCAGGAAACATCATAACCGGTTTGCTAACAGACAGGCAGTAAAGTTTCTACAATCTCTCTATTCACCCTGGAAAAAAGCAGATTACTACTGTTTCGAAGGCCGGCTGATGTTCCTACTGGTAAGAAAGCGTCCAATTCCATTTACTCCCAACCGCATATTTCAAAAACATTGTAAACACTTTCTGAGATACAAACAGGAAACCTGACAAAGAAAATTGGTATCTCTAAACCTAGTTATTTCGTGTGCCTCACAACATAGTGGTACAAACAGCAAAACAATTTGATTTGTCAGATCACCCTATACGTGCCGAGGACCTTTTTGCTCTAGCTGACTGCATAAACATTTGCTGAGCATTCATTTGTACTAAAGATAGATATTCACTGCATCTGCTGATGAGAACATTCTCAATTTGCATGCAGTTTTAGCACCCACTCTTATCAGATCATTTTTGAAGGAGTACGATGAGAGGTCTGTGAAGGAGGCAAAGCAATTCTTCATGCTGAAACAGGGGGGAAAAAAAAATGCCCAGCATCTCATTTAGAAAACCTGTTAGACTATCAATAGTTTCAAATGCTTATTAGTAAACGAAAGTCAGAAGAAAAATAAACTATTGCTACTTCTAAAGTTTATGAAAATATCATTTTCCACTTAAAACAACAACCATGGCATGAAGTCTTTCCAAAAACTTGAAGTAGGGAGCAAAAATCAAAGGATGAGAGTTTCCAGTTTGTACAAACTATAATCATACAATCTCTTCATTACCAGTCAGACCAGTCCTTCAATCAAACCCATTTTGTAAGCTAGAAGAGTTTACCAGTATTGGGGGAGGGGTTGCTATTGAAACGTTATCCAACAGAAAAGTTTAAAATTTAGTTTCATCCATATGGAAAAAAAATCTGCTTGTGAATTTCCAAGAAACATCACACAATTTTTGCAGCCAAATGAAGAGGTAACTAAAGTGTCTTAAAAAAAAAAAATCACTTTTCATCCAAGCAATCCTAAAAGTTTTGAAAGTTTAAGAAAAAAACTTTTTGGTGGCAGTGACAAGCTAAGCACTTACTGCCCTCTTCTCTCGCTGCTCACTTGTTCTTACCTCCATTACATGCTAGAAACTGTGAAGATGTTTAGTGAATAGATAAAGGAATGGATCTGGCTGAAAAACATCTATTTTCTGCTCGGCTCTTTCAGTCCGAACAGTTCTTCGGTACAGTTCACCAATAAATTGAATCAAAAACGCATATAAAGGGAGTGCTCATCATTTCAGTGGATGATATATAGAATATTCAAGCAATTCATTTCCAGACATTCCTGTTATGTTTACTCTGACACTGAAAAAGGAACTGAGTCAGAATTACAAATACTGAAACACAAATAAAAAACATTTGACTCATGTTTACCTGGAGTATTTTCACTCTGCAAAAGTTTGTCCATAGTGAGCAATTTTAAAGCGAGATGAAATTTTCAGAACAACAACAGCATCTCTTACAAGGAGAAGGAGCCTGGGGCAGATAGCCTGGTTTTGGCATTGAAATCAAACAAAAGGTGTATCTTCTTGTAAGGAATACAAAGTACCTTATTCCACAATTTAGACTGGGAAAACAAGCTGTACGGCAGCCACACGTGAAGTGACAAGCTATCTCCGATTTGTTTCTCAGTTAAGCAAATACTTATCCTTAAAAACTAACCATTACTCTGAAGGACAAAATATACGTTACATACAATAGGATAGCAACTGTTAAAACAATATCTTTCACAATAATTCTATAAGAGCACTACCCAAAATATTAACCATTATATCTCCGAAACCTTCATTAAAAGGCTGGCCAAAATAATTCCTAGTTTAACAACAACTGATCGGTCCTACCAAAATACGAGTAATTTGTCATTAAACCCTAAACAAGAACATTTTCCAAAATGGATACAACATGTAACACTTTAAAGGCAAGAACTCAGCATAAAAAATAAACGTGAAACCAGCTTGTATTTGCCCTTTTTAAACCCTCAAGTCCAGCAGTGCAATAGCTAGAAAAAATAAGCTAAGAAAGGAAATATCATTTATAGTGTGTCCTCAAAATAGTAACCCATATTACTCTTCGAACAGGTGCATCACTTAACTTCATTAATTACTACAATAAATATAGATTTCATGAAAAAACTCCCTCTTAACTACATCGATAGTGAATTTTAGGCTTAATTTATGCTCTTGCAACATGGCATAGTATAAATCAGAAGGCAAGTAGGAAATATAGTTCACCGCAGTGCTGTTTATAACACTCGTGAGGTCCTGAACCTTTGCAAAGCAAACACTAAGCTCATACTCTGGTGAGCAGAAACTTTGTTAAAAATAGTTGCCTAACTGTACATCACTAGTTTAAACAAGAATAACCAAGTATTTTGGTGTTTGCTTTTATCAGATAGCAGGTTATTTTTTACCTGTCTTATACCACTTCAAGGTAATATCAAAGTAGTAAACTGCAACACATGAACCTCAAATATCAGAGTGGCCTATAAAGAGTATTGTGTATCAGCTTTGTCAGATTTTAGCTTCAAATTCTGCTTCCTTTGTTTGCAAGAGTAGCCTCAAACCATTCAGAGTAATTACTTGAACAAACGTTAAGTAAGCAGAGTAAACTCAGTCTGTTGTTCTACAGCATTTCAAGTTCAAAGGCCTAGCAAGTATCTCAGTGGAGCCTATATGATCCAAGGTCAGGAACAGCCTTCATATAACAAGGCAGAGGCGCTGTCAAAGCAACGTTTCAAAGTCTTACAAAAAAGATAGATTTACATTGGTCTCCCACTTCAGGCACTACGCAAGAAAAAGGAGAATTGATGCCCAACTTGCATGACTTCTATTGCCACAGACTTTGAGGTAGCTCAGGCAGTGAAACGAGCACGGGACCTGGCAGTGGAAAATAACGGAGGTGGAAATCCAAGTGACTTCAGCCAAGGAACCATCAGACCAGATTCCTGCTTTCCCCATTGTAACAAATCCCTCTCTATCTGACTAATACAGTGGTTGTCTACTTTTATTAAACATTTTCCTAAAAACTGTTGATGTTTTTATAAACTTAAAAGTGCCTTTTGGCATTAATTCATGCCTCAATAAAGATGCCTGCTTTACAGAGCTTAGTTCTGAAAATCCAAACCTTTTCCTCGCGTCCAACATTTTCCAGTGTTCAATTTTGTCCTTGAAATAAATCTAGTTAATTAAAAAGAAAAATCTATTGAGGAGTAAACATAGTATTTCACACCTCAGGCTTTTTCCTATGATGATACAGAGTTGGTAGCTTTAGCTTAGGTTAATAAGCTACAAACTGCATTTGCTTCCTGCCTCGATCGCCTCTCCCAAGTAACCTAGCATCATCACTGAAGCCACAGCCCTGGCCAGGCAGGTCTTTGTTAGAGAAGTCTAGAATCCCTTTCAATTAGCTACAGTTCTTCTTCATACTACTTATAAGAGACACCCAGTAACATTATCAGACTTTGATAAAACAAAATACACAAGACTCAAATGCAATGAGACAGGAAGATTATACTATTTGCTCAAGATTATACAAGGAAATCTAAGGAGAGCCAAGAATTAAATCCAGGACTGCACTTCGCTGCCCAGAATACGAGATCTGGAAGATGTTTAAAGTACTGCAGTATATTCTACAGAAACTTATGTTGTATTTATAAACAACTGGCATCTGCAGAAAACCATAACTCTGAAAGTCAGGCTCCATAATAAAAACAATTGGTTGTCAGGATGCAAAGACTATCTAACGTCACCTACAATACAACTAAACCGTGGATTTATGAGATACAAATGATCCTCGTTTCGTTTTAAAGCTCATTAGAATAAGTAGTAGTCTATACTCACAGGAACAATAAGCCCTTGCCAGGTCAATAAATTAGCTTCATCAACCTGGATATTACGGAAGTTTTTCATTCCACATTTGCGGATTTCTTCAAGCTCCTGAAAAGCAAGCAAAGTCATAAGTGGAAGTTAACAACAATAGCGGGTAACACGCTCATATATATTTTTCAGAATGCTTGCAGAGGTCATCATGGGTTTCTTTAACCTTAAACAACTCGTGGTTTCAGAAGTCGCAACCCACACAATTAAACAAAAAACAAAAAAAGGGAATTTTACACCTATGAGAAGTAAAACTACCTGAGGCAAACTAGTAAAAAAATTATTTATTGATATGTCACAATACCAAAATGCCTTGTTAATAAGATTATAGATAAATATTTTTATTTCTACTTCTATCGTATTAAAAAATCTTACACCTGCTATTCAAACCAATGTCTTTGGTAACAGACTGATAATTCTGTGAAGCACAGAAATAAAGCACATCGTAGGACTTCTCTACATGTGAAAATTAGTGGTTTAGAGGAATTATTTACGTTGAATTATTTAAACACTAATGAAGTCACTGAATAGACGCATTATGTCAACTGAAAACTAACAAATGCCTGTATAATCAACTTAAAACCGATGCAAAGTCGGAAAAACATCAATCTAAGTCAAAATAGCCTTATTAGATCAGTAACTCAAGCAGATACAGCTTTCTGTTTCCTACCTCAAAGTTAACAGTAATTATAAATGTACCTCTCTTTATAGCTGTATCGCTCTGGAATAAAGAAATTACTTGCATGAAGTAAGCACACCTCTCCTCAGAAACCACTAGTCAAATCATTTTTGATCATTTAGTGATCCAGAAATCACCAAAACAGATAAAGCCTATTTTTATACACAATACAAAACAATGTATAAACACAAGCGTAGCAACTGTTTTTTCAAAGTTATATATAATCCTAAACCGAAAGAGAAACACCCCAAAACTCCACTTTTTTCATAATAATAGTAGTCCTTTGCTCTTTAATTAAGAACTTCATCTTTAAAAATAAATTCAAAAGTCATCCACAGTGAAATGTAAAACTTCCCCGGCGCTTTCAAAACTGAAGCACATGCCTGCGTGTCTACTCACATTCGGAAAAATGTTGCTGACACAGCAACATCGGTGCACTCTACCAGCAAACTGTTCTTCACGTGGGTGCAACTGTATTTGCAAAACTAGACTTTATGTTATTATGGTAAAATCACCAACTACAAGCAAAGGCACTATACGTTTAAAAAAAAAAAAATCATTTTTTCTAGTACAAGTGCTCTAGTGTCAGGATTTTTTGCTAAAATTGTTCTATGTTCATCATGGATCAAACCTTTCCACACCTGACTGGCAATGTTTTACTACTTGCAGTAATCTCTAGCATAAACTTAGCTTCACAATAAAATGCAAAACGAACACAAGTTTTCCAAACATACATGAAGAAAAAAACAAAACAAAACAAAACAAAAGAAAAAATCGCAGAGCAGCCACACATGGGGAGCTGAGCTTTCCCGCACCCGCCCACTGCAAGGACGGAAGCGGGTGCCTACCCGGAACAGGACGGTCCAACCCTCCAAGTCTTTGATATTGAAACGACACCCAATACAATCTTCAAGACACCAAAAATGACTGTTTAGTCCAGACCTCTGGATTCATCCCAAAACTCCACTGCCGTTAGATTTACGTAACGTCACAGAAAGTCTTGTTTTTCTTTAAAACAATGAGATGATTCTTAATGCAGGAAAACATACAAAACCATACAGCAGAGAATCCCACGAAGCACGTTTATAGTGAGGCAGAAAAACCCACACGTTCAAAAGCAAATATCCTTCCTTCTCATAGAAATAAGATATTGTTTACAATCACCGAAACTACAAACGCCCACGATGCTTTAGGCCCAGCTTTGGACGCTCAGTGCACAGAGCACCAGCTCACAAGGACGCGGACCGGTACCAGACTGACGCTTTCCTGACAGGGTTGGGACAGTAACTCCCTCAAACCAGCGCGCTGACTGGCCCATTTTCTGCGCATACAGAACCGTTAAGTCCTGGCAAACCACTGCACCACGGAGGGTAAAAGGGGAAAATCCCATTCCACACCAGATATAACGTATCAAACGTCATGGGGGGGAAAAAAAAGCAGCTAGATTAACCAGTACCTATTTAAGCATGAATAAACGTGCATTACCAGTGTCTTCCTTCTAAAACAAGGAAAGGAAAACAGATTATTTTAGATATTTTCTAGTCACTATATTAAAACATTATGCCTATTTCAGAAATCCCCCCATAACGTCCCAAGGGGGGTGCAGCTTCCACACAGTAGCTTTCGCTACAGGTTCAGCTGAGAGCATCACGCAGTTGCTGCTCCAGACAACAGTTCAGCACACACAGATAGAGGATGGTTATGGGCCTCTAATTCAGGTATATTATTAAGCTAATAAAATAAGTTAGTAAAGCATGGCTTCACGTTAATGGAAGATTGAACATTTACATTTAAGTAAATTCAGGTTAAAAACCTCTTTTGTTTGCAGTGATGCTGGATTAAGAAATGCAACAATACAGCGCAGAGACCACTGCAAAATTTAGAACTTTGTAGGAAACTAAAGAAATTCTCAAATAAACATGCAAATTGCTCCCTTGCTTCCCTGAAGCTCACCTCACGAGAAAGGGAATTAAAGGCTCTAGAAGACCCTACATTAGGCAGCTAGCAGAAAACCAGGTCAGGACTTTTTCCCATTAGAACGACACGTGGAACCTAGGTAAGAATTCAACTTCAAAATCAAAAAAGTAGTAAATTACTGCAGCGTATCACAACTACGCTCTGTGCTTCCTTCTCGGCCACCCTGGGCTCTGCAGCAGTAACGGACGGCTGGAGGAGGAAACAGGCGGGTGTAGGAGAGGCCATTCTTTCCCTCCCGCGCAGGCCCGGCGGCTCCGGCACGCGCTGCAGGACGACCTGCCCGAGTTGTTCGCTGCAGACAGGTTCCATTTTAAACTGGAAGTGACCCGCTAGCCTTGAGGTTTCATATTCTACTGTAAATTCATCAAATTCCGTGTTAAACTTGCGTATTCTCAAGCAGCTTTTTTTGGTACCGCTGTCCCTACAAACTCAATATAATCCTTGCAAGTCATGTTTTTAGGGTTTTTGCGCCCAGTGCCTCAGGAGCGATAACAGATTCAGCACTCAGGGTTCGAGGGTTTGGAAGTTTTTTCTTTTGTTTTTCCGTCAATCAATAAAACCCATAATAAAGCTCTAACTGCCCCAGAACTACAGAGGCAAGCATAGCTAAAAAGCGCGGTTTAAATGAACCGTTAAAAAAGGTGAATGAGATACTGAATACCTTCAAACAGCGCAGAGATTAAATGTTAATACTGCATTTAGCGTGGGCTCAAGCAAGTCTAAGGGACAAAAATGACTTTATGAGGTACTGGAGATATTTATGTTAAATTAAGTCTTAAGAGCCTAGGCAGACAGTTAGTAGTAGGAACCAACAAATAGTTAGTTCCCATTCTTGTTCTCCACCCATTAATTTTGTTAAGTAACGTAATTAAAGGTGCACTGAAGGAGTCTAACTAATGGTCAGAACGCTGAAGCAAGAAGTCAAGGCGCTATTTCATTCCCCGCTCTGTTATCAACCTTGCATGTGACCTTGCCACATTGTTTTCCCCATTTATAAAAATCAAAATGTCCTTATTTCATGGGGCTCTCTTGGGACATGGCATTTGTAGTTTGGGCATGTTCAGATAAAGTGTTGTACACAGCACATAAAATGGAGAAAACTGTTTCAGATGTAATAGCTGATCTGTAAGTAGAACGCTGAAGATGATCATAAAGTCTCTTTCGCTCATGTAATCAATAAGTACTTACAATTTTGATTTTCAATACTGTGTGGTCATTTGTGCTGTTCATAGCATACGAAAAAGCACTGAAGATAAGTACTCGTCACAGTTTAATCCGAGAGTTATGGTAATAAACATAAGCACTCATATTCACTACAGTAAATTCTGCATCAAACCCAAAAGGCTATTAAATGCACAAAGAAAAAGTCGACAGAAATAACCCTAAACTGAGGTTATCTGCTGTTTACAGCCTATGTTTACCTATTTATAAACATGTTCCTAAGAGAAAGGTGACAAGTCAAATAGGCCCCAAGACACTGGGGCCAATTTCAATTTTGAATCTCCTACAGTAGAAAGAAATGTTTAAAAAGAAAAAAAAACTTTTAATTAAAAAGTATATAAACATTATTAGATTGATTACAGCTCTTGTAAGAGTTATTACCAAGTTTCCAATGAGACATTACAGTCCTGTGTATTCACATGCCTTTTATTTGCTGAGTAAGTCTCCTTTTTGGCAAAGTATCTTCATTTGATCTTTACTTGGAATTGTTTTCTTAAAATTTTGATTAAAAATCCTCCTCTCAGTTCTGAGTTTCAAAAAGGGAAAATGAATCAGTATTTTCACTTCTATAGAAGGACAATCATACACTACTCAAATCCAGCTGAAATTCATATTTCCCATTACTGAGAACCAATGTTTGGATCAATTTAGAACTGGGGACTATTTTTCAAATATCAACGTTTGTTGATGTTTGATCAGACTCATTTATCTGGGAGGGTTATGCTGCTTACAAGGCCGTAAGTGGCTGTAAATGGCATGCCACCTGCAAGAGGTGCACGGGTGTGGCTTTGTGTTTGCATTTTATCATGGAGTTCAACAGTTGCACAAATGTTTAACTATGCAATTATGAAAGCAGAGTGAAAACAGTAAGATTAAAATATATACTATATATACACACACTTCACTTCACATATGAGGTGTTGTTTACTCTTTAAATCTATTTTCAATTTGTAATACTGAAGACAATTTACAACACTTAAAAGCCAAGAAATAAAAGCATGGATTTTAAAGAAACCTTAGTTTGGTCATATGGCAGATCAGCAGAGAAGGAAGTAGTCCCAAACACGGGATGAGACGGTCCTCTTCAACAGCACTTACAAAAACACGCGTTCAAACACGCGTTCAAACACGCGTTCAAAAAGGCTACTTAGTAGCCTTTTACTAGTTTAACAAAATGAACGTGTAAGTACCACATACTACTGCTCTAACATCAAGTACTATGACTATCCAGCGCTTCGGTAGCCTTCCTCTCGCAGCTACCCTCTATCCCCCAGCGTACCATCTAGGGCTTTTTAATGCTACCGATCTTAATGGAAACTGCGGGTTTTACACTGGCGGGTGGCGAATGAAACGAATTTCGTTGAACCTCCCGGCACTTCTTTTGGAGATCTATGTTCCCAGTCACACCTCTTTGGAGACTGCATGCTTTTGAGAAGAAATAGTCACCAAGCAGGAAAAAAAAGCATCATTGTTATCAGTTATGGCAAAATAGCTCCCTTAAAAGAGAAGGTTTCTCTACCTTCCTAAACATAATTAGAGTTTGTATTTGCCTGCTTTTCCCTGAGAGCTCGTCCCTAACAATGCGTCCTTGACAAACACTGCTTTATCCCACCTCTCACATTTCACAAGGAGCTGAGATCTGACAACTGCAGCTCTTTCAGGAGGTGTAATGGTGGCGCATAGATCAAAACTCCACCTCAAATGTTGTGGGATATGATTCAATAGTTATTATTATTATTTCACATTTTTACTAATCTAGGTGTGCACTTGGAAATGCTTGAAAAAAAACAGTAGAGAAAACTGCAGTTAAGCAATTCAATGGCATAAAAGCTTTGCAAAAACAGGCCATAAATGAGGTCTTTGGCCTAAGAAATATTATTTGCTCGTGTACAACCTAAGATAACAACACAGAGCTTGTTATAACTTGGCTTAATGTTTGAAATTGAACGGTGCAATAGCACAATTTTTAATACTTATTTCACAATGAGATTTCCAAGTCGAAGACAGGGATAGCTTCTACAGTCTGAAAAGGATATCCGTTCCCATTTGTGAGGTGGAAACAACACTCACGTTCCCAGCTCTCTACTAGAACCAAGCACTTCTAGGCAGGCAGCATGTTATTATGAACTTACTACATCCAGTCTCTCAGTGCCAACATAATTAATACAAATAACCATGATGCATGACACGTGCCCAGAGAAAAATTCCAGTACTTCAAAATGCTGGCAAGGCCTTAAAAAAAAAAAACAAAAAAAAAACGACCAATTCCCATTTTCCTTATGTGACTTACAAAAGGTTCAAGACTTATTCTCCGTTACCAAAGACAAACTTGATATTTAGCTCAAAGACAAGACAGTTAATGCTTACCCTAGATTATTTCAATAATCGAGTGACAAAATAAAAAGCTATACTACTTTTAATCACTAATCATTCTATGACCCTGAGAAAGATACAGCACAGACTCTTCTGTTTTTTAAAACTTTTAACAGTGAAACACTTCAAAATACCATTTGTTGATCTGTGATTTTTACTTTGGAGCTTTAATAATATCGGGTTGATACACATGGGAGTTAGGACCTACAGAACTGCAAAACATCTTGCTGCAGCAACCCAGATTGCATCACTGGGAGTCCAGTTCTAGGCTGTTCCTACTGAGATGAATGGTAAAACTCAAAGCATTTTGGATTGGCTCTACTCTACAAAAGGAACCCACGTAGCTGCTTGTTTAATAACTTTTACAAGTCATCATCTCACAGCTGTCGAACTTGCTAAAAAAAAAAAAAACCACACGCACAATTCACAAACATAATATAATAAAAATGAAAGTAAAAATGTTAAGAGGGAAGTTATCAATGTCTCCTTCCTTCCTATACCACTCCCTCTCAAAAGCAATTGCCACACTATTTTTCTAGAAAAGAAACGGGTCATGATGTCAAAAAACTAACATTTTAATGGTATTTCAGTAAAAGACTGATGGCACTAATTGTAACATTTTAAAAGTAGAGTGGAATGATGACTGAGCTGGGGGTGGGAGACAGCAGAGCAAAAGGGACTGCAGATATTAAGGATAATTTTTCTTGCCTTCTAGATTTTTGATGTTATGTTTAAAGTTAATGATTATATAATAAAATAATATTAAATATATAAAAATAATGATTTATAAATACATATTTCTTTCTCCAAAACAGCAATGATGTGTTTCTGAACAATTAAGGAACTTCTCAAAACAGGCAGAAAAGCTGGTCTTACAAAAAGACAACTTAAATGGTAGCTTACTACCTGGAACAAAGGGCAACCTTATCTGAATATGAGCAGCAAATATCGATTATGACACTAAAGCTATGACATAAAATAACAACCATCAAGAATGAAAGAAAAAATCAATGCTGTCTCATCAAGATCCTTAGGCACATTTAAATGCTTACCCCTACTGATTTAATACATATGAATGACTCTGCATACAATTTATTCTAGCATTAAAATTTTAATCTTTATATAACACATATAAAACAGTGAAACTAGCCTTAAGAGAGCAACGTTGAACTATTATTTTCTTTAAAAATGGTGGAGGTATGACGGTTAATTATGTATCTCTGCAGTTAAAGAAACTTAACTTCAGAATCTGCTACCCAGATATCCCCTCACTGGTAGGGGCCCACATGCTTGAAGCCAGTTGTACAGGTGATTCAGGTGAATGCAGGTGACTAAGTTTATTCTTTTGATATCACCTATACACCTGTCATACCCTCGTGCACGGTTATGCGGCACCCTTCGGGGACAGCATTTCTAATAAAGCTAAAAAACCGCCTGACAGGGCAGGGACTTTCCACCTATGCTTCACAGCACTAGCCTGTAAAGTTCATTGATTTATCTTATAGGTACTTTACATGCAAATATCGTAGGGCATTGCCTCAGAATTTTTACAGACGACTAAATTTCACGCCACTAAGGGTGCGCGTCCCAGGCAAATTCCACACCGCATGCGGTTTGTGATGCTAAACGACAATAACATACACGCACGCAAAACGAACTCGCGTGCCTCGGGTGCAATGGTCATCGTTCTTTCGGAGAAGCATCTAACTCCTTGAACAAAACCATGGGAAACGCAAGGGCTTCATCCCAAACAGCATTTTGAAATAAATTATACGTGCTCTTCGCCCAGACCAGATGGCTGAAGCTGAGTTTATATTCGGGAAAAAACAAAACAAAAACCAAACAAACAAAGAAAAAACCCCCCAAAAGCCCCCACACCACCATCGCGACTTGGGAACACATAAAGCGCTGGAGCCGAAAACATCGCAACGCCCGGAGCGAAGCGAAGGAGGAAACTTCTGAACCCAGGTCCACGTTTCAACGCGATAAACCTCTTCCTCGTAGAGGGAAGGGGTCACGCTCAGGAACAACCGGCAACGGGAAGCCGCCCAACGCCGGGGCGCGGCGGGGGGAGCCCCCGGCGGA